TTTGCAGATCCTGGCAGGAATAAAGTCAGCACCTGTGGTACTTCTTGTTGCTGTTTTCTTACCCACTGCCCTGCTTTGAGATGTGCAGTGTCCAACCACCCAGGCTGACAACACACCAAAACATCTCTAAGGGCCTCTCATCCCTCTCTCAATGGAACCCTGGCACCTCCTCTCACCCTTACTCCCAGCCCCTGCCTCAGGTCCCTGTGGGGTTCCCTGGTCAGTAACTCAGGAATGAGAACTGACAATATGGAGCTCCCCATCCCATCCTCTGCTCCCCCTGCTCTGTGTCCCCACGCATCCGTTTACTGAAAAAACCACAAATCCTCACCTCTGCCTTTTATGCCCCTAATTGTCAAGAGTGGTGTTCTCAGGTCTGTGGAAGAGGCTGCTCCAAATACCTCCAACTTCTTTGCCACTGCAGACCCCCTGATCAGGGGACTGGTTTGGCAGAGTCTCTTCAACATCTGCTGAATATGACCTTCTCTCCAGAAACAATGTGGGCTGCAAGGACTTTACTGAACTATTTTAAAGCTTTCATGGCAGGGAGCTAGGGCAGGGCACTGTGTTGTACAAGAAACTGCTGCTTTGAAATTCCTCAGTGTCTCGTGGAGTGGGAGAACAATCCTTGTCTCTACAGGTTTTGATGGTGGCAACCATCCATCCTCCTGGATCATGGTGTATGGATGAGGGCCACTCGGACCTTCAATGCATATGCCTGGGCAGGAATTTTTGGAGGAGTAGAGACTGTCCAGACCTGCCATCCTCCCTGTAGGTCACTAAGACAGAATCCAAAGACCAGACTGAGTCCAGATGTTTGGTGCCCCCCTGGTTGTAGTTGTATAAGCATCTGGGGATCAAACTTAGGTCTCCTGTGTGGTAGACAAAGAATCTACCACTGAACCACAGGGGACTCCAGGTTTTGATGGGGACCCATTGGAAATACCCACTGCTTCAGAACTGATGCAGATTCCAGAAAGCCACTGTTATTTAAGAGGTGCCAAAGAGTCCATTGGTCATGGCCCAGATCAGCCTTGGATGTGAGGGACTGTCACAGGGTCTGTCCTCCAGGCAGGTGTTGACAAGAAAGAGATGCTGCTGTACTGGCTTTGTAAGAGTTGACCAAGGTGGAGATGATCAGCCTGAGTAGAACATGTTAGCTGAGAGGTCTACCAGAATACAAAGTAAAGTCAAAGCTGGGTGTCCATCCTAGTCCAGGATAGCAAGTTCATGGTTGAGATGAAATCATGGTCAGGGTAAGCAGTTGATCCAGTCTGGGAGATCTAAGGCAAGAGCAGGAGTGATCAGGACAGGAGCAAGCATGAGAGTCCAAGCCAGAGGGTTCAACACAGAATGTCAGGTCTTAGGAGTTTTAAGCAGGCCAGAGCCACAGCAAGACAGTTGCCCAGACACATGGTCCCTCTTGCTGCTGTCTGGTCTAAGCTCAGATACACCAGGTGAGTGGGCCTCTTCTTGAGGGGAGACTCAACCTACTTTCCTGATTACTTCCAGTTGGAGTTTGGGACTGGCTGTGCCCCAGCTAGGCCATGGCTCATTACAGACTTCTATCCTGACTCCTCTGGTAACCAGTAGGAGTTGGCCAAAATTCACTGCTGTGGCCTTTAGCCCCCACTCTGTTCCATGAACATCTCCTGTGTGGTGGGAGAAGTCAGCAGGGCACTGGTAGCAGACCAGTACCCTGTAACTTTTGCCTGTTTCTCTAATACCAAGTTGGGATTGTTCATCAGGCAGTGTCCTGACTGAATTGCCTCATAGCCCAGGAAAGCTGATTACCTTCCAAAATGGCACCTGAGCTTAAATGTCAAACTGAGTACCTTCCTCTGGCCCTGCACTTACAGGTGGCTGGGAGGGAGGTTGGGTGTCTCCTGCACTGTGTGTCAGATTCGAATAAATCTCTTCTCATGCAGTTGTATTTGCATATATCATTCCTGTCTACTTTCTGCATCTAGTTCTCTCTGCTCCCAGTTCCTGTAGCTGTGTTCCCTTGTCGTTGTAGATGCTGTGTGTAATAGCTAAGCCTCTCATCTTCTGCCTTCAAAACTTCCTACCATTGTTCTTGGTGACACCAGCTTCCTTTGACGTCCCATCTGAACCCTTAGCTTCTGCCTTCTCACCTGTATTGATAAAAGTTATGATTTAGAGACACTCTGTAATAGAGGGGAGTTGGAAATTGGGAGATGGTCCCCCAGTTAGGGAGTAGCCAGTTAGTTAGAGAGACTAAAAGTCTTCAGAGGCTTGCCTACTGTTCCACAATAAAACTTGTTTAGTTCTTATTCATGCCTGACTGTCTTTATTGAACCCAGTGATCACTATATGGTTTCAGAAATGGTGAATGAGAAAGAGCTTGAAAGAATTTGAATTCTAAACCAGAAAAGAAGCTGGAAACTAAAAACAAAGGGAGTGACACAGCCATGTGGAAGGACAAAGACCTTTGTAAGTGATCTGCACAGCCACGTAGTCTAAATCAAAGGTTTTCAAACTTTCTGAAGTCACCGAACCCTTTCCTATCACTTCTGCTCCTGCAGAATACCTACCTCCAGCCTACAGACTGACACGGAGCCAGGTCACCTGGACCAGGAATTGTGGTGCACCAGCTCCCAGCCTGCTCCACCATTGCCCCCAAATCTCTTTGTGGAACACATGATAACTCGGGGGTTCTACCGAACTTGAGAAAGTGGCCAGCTGATTTCATAGGCAGATCCCGGGGCTAGACATCATTTTTGTGGGCTAGATGCAGAGGGGCCCCACCATGTCTTTGATTGCCCAAGGGGTCCCAGCTGTCCTGCCCTTCCCTGCACATTGCCACATGGCCCCAAACCATGGCTTAATTACCTTGGTTAAGTCCAGGGAAGCCATTAATTCATGTTATTAAGCGTGGATTAATGGCTTCCCCAGGCTTAATCAGAGTAATTAAACTGTGGTTTTGGGTCATCCCCAAGTGGCAGGCTCCACACTTTTGGTGGGCTCACTGTAACACCCCCTCCCCCCCACCAAAAAAAATCAAAACAACTTATCAGCAAGCAGAGAAAAGCATGTGGGAAGCCCTGCATATGGAGCATGGGGTGGGGGGAAGGTGGAGGGCAGGGAGAGAGAGGCAGGATGGGGTTGGGCACAGCTGTGAACAGCAGTCTGCTGAGAACAGGTCTGCCCTGCCCTGCCCGTCGTCTCAGCCCCTGCCCTCTTCCCTCTGCTTTCCCTACACTGTGCTCCAAGACTGCAAGGCTTCCTGTATGCTTTTCTCTGCCTCCTGAGAAAATCATCCTCAACAGCCTGTAGCTGATAAAATTTGTGTCATATCCAGAAGCATAGCAGCCAAAACACCAAGTGAAGGAGGACCATTAAAAGGAGCAGTGTTCCATTCATAGATTGTTAGAGGCTGGAAGGGACCTTGCAGATCATTGGGTCCAGGCCCCAAAATGGAGATGCTGGGGATTGAACCCAGGACCTCATACATGCAAAGCATGTGCTCTACCACTGAGCTACATCCCCCTGTTGAAATTTTTTGTGATATTGCAAATAATGCCACTTCTCAAATGTACCACTCCAATGACATGATCAGACTCAAATTTTAAGACTTGGAGGAAAAACTTCCCACAGAAAAAATGGGAAGCCAGATCTGATAGTTTGTCAGTCTGAGAGGAAAATTAAACTTCCAGAAAGACTTATAGGCTGCCTACCCACGTGCTTGTTCATATTCTAATTAGTACGTGTTGGAGTGGACTTGATTAACGAAGTCTGCTCCACACTCTAACTCTAACTGGTCCTTCCCTCTGCAGTGGTGGCACCTGCCTGCTAGCACACAGCCTGGACTGTCATGAGGGGATTGCCACTGCAGAGGGAAGCACCAGGCCCCACGCAGCTCAGAGGCTATATGACCATGGCAGCAGCTCGTGCAGGCAGGCTTGACAGGTAAAAAAAAAATCAGCAAGGAGCCTGATCTTTTTTTTTTCTCTCAGAGCCTGCCTGCCTGAGCTGCGTGTGGCCTGGTGCTTCCCTCTGTGGCAGCAGTGCTCCTGGGCAGCACCCACCCGCTAGCAGCCCACCTGAGAGGTCCCAGGGGTTGCTGTATTTGCGGAGGGAAGCATTGTCCCTTATTCCCTGGGGATAAGGTGTGCCACTGCTACTTGTCCCTGGGGAAACACATGTTCCCACTCTTGGGGACATGTCCACAATGTATAGCCTGACTTTTGTGTAATTTACTTCGAACCAGGTTAGCATTTTGCTAGGAAAAATCCGGGGTAAAACTCCCTTTAAACCCCACCTTTGCTAAGTATATGTGTAATTGACTTCCCTTAAGGAGGTAACCCAAATGTTTGGTAAAAATGTAGCAGATGAAGTTACCTGGGTCCTTCAGAGTGCAAGGAAACCTGGGAGGAGAGCTGGAGAAAGGAAGAATGGGTTGGGAAGTAGAATGTGTTGACAGGATGGTTGGAGTATTGCTGTAGCCAGGATAGTCCAGGACATGTACGAAAGACACGGGTTTTTTGGGATATCTTTTACTGGATGGTCTAATCCAAATCCCATTTGAAGTCAGTGCTTTTCTTTGACATCAGTAGGTTTTAGATCAGGCCCAAGACAGCTCAAGAAGACAGAAATCTAGGAAGAAACCTATTCAACAGATCTTCCATGGGGAACTAGTATAAGTCTTTTAACAGTAGACTGTGAGGACAGTATGTTGGGATATAACACTGCAGTACACAGTCCTGCACTGGGAAAAGCTGGTCTTTTTTGTCTTGGACATCTTTAATCCATAATAAGATAAAGTCAGGGGATAGGCTTTGTCTTGGCTACCTACTCCTTACATTTTTTGTGCTGTTCCTGAATTGTGGCTAGCCAATGCCGCTTAGCAGATAAGGGATAAATGAGTCAGAGTTTAGGACCCAGGGACTTTTTTTTAGGCTTACAGGATGTGACAGCTAACTGGAAATCAATGAAGTGTACTTTAAGAAGCTTCATAATGATGCAAGATAAGGCTGGAAATGCACTCCTATTCCTTGCAGACTCTGTTCCCCTTCATGCTCTTTAATCAGTTTGCATTAACTGATTTCTAGGATGGAATCTGGTTATGTGTGAAAAGAAGCGATCAGCTGTAGAAAGCTTCCACAATGCTGGTGCTGGTGTTCATGCCTCTCATTCTTTGTCTGAGCAAGTCAGGTAAGTGCAATTTCTTCCCTTTTTAAGCTAAATGGCAGAAATGCTTTTTTTTTTTTAAACGCAGTTAGGTGTCTGACCTTTGAAATCGGGCACTGGCATTCATTGTTACATGAGTTCCTCTACTTCTTTGCAAAGCAACTTGGAAGACCTACATTTGTCCCTTGTATGAGTTGCAATAGCAGCTCTCATATTAACAGTGCTTTCTTCAGTAGTAAAAGCCTTTTAAATTGGTGCAGATGCTACTTTGGCAGAGATGACATGAACAAAAATAACAGAGCTGTTTTGTACCCAGAACAGCACAGCTTGCATTTTAAACCCAGTTTCACAAAATATATGGCAGGCTGGAAAGGAGAGCAATATGTTTTTGGGAACTGAGAGACTCAGAGAATGTGTGCTTTTTCCCTAAACAGTGCGAGGGGCAGATTTTCAACATTAAGAGGAGAAAAAAGCCTGTTAGGTGAGGCAAGAAAAGGCTAAATGTGCTATGTATATGTCTCTACAGCACAAATGGTGTGTAATGAGCTTATGACACCATCCAGGCTGGATTTCTATTCTTTTATCAACTCACCTGCTCATAGCACTTGAAGGTCTCCCTGGCACATCTCCCTGAGGATGAGGAAAAGTTAACCAGGGCAGATTAAGCAGTATGGCAAATGTGATGAATTAAGCTTGCCTGTCAGAGCAGTGAAAGGAGCAGTAAAACTTTTTTTTGTGTGTGAATCAATAACATTAGAAATGAGTCTGAACTCTGATGGCTGCCAGTCCTATCCATCTTTAAGTTTGACCCTGGTCCTTTCAGTATATTCTCAGTTGCCTTATCTGCAGTCTTGTAAGCAATTCAAGCCACATTGCTCTCTGGGGAGGTAAGATCCTCGTAGAACAGACTTCTTTGGGCAGACATGTTTTCCAGCCCAATTTTAGTCTGTGTTCCACATTACTTTTTTGCTCTTAAATATATGGCCTCTCTGAACCAGCCTCAAATCTGCCTCCCATCTCCTCTCTGCTCTCTGAAGGCCCAGAGTAAACAGAGTGGTTCACGTCAGTGTGCACCAGAACTTACCATTTGCACCACAGCTGTTATTTTCCCTCTGCTTTGTTTTTCTGTGCCTCCTTTATTGATTGTATCCTTCAAAGCACATAATACTCCAGCTTTTGGACACTTCTCACCAAGTCTCCATTACTCCCTCCAACCATAGCCAGGTCCCAGAGGCTCTGTGGCTCATCAGAGATCAAGGTTCCCTACAAAAATTAACTTTTTAAGCTAATTATTTAGCACAGGGACATTGCTGTACCGGATTCAGGGAGGTGAGGGTGGGGATGGTTGTACTGAAGTAAACTGAAGGTTTTGTGGTCCACTGGTGTGCAGGAGAGCATATCTAAGCTTCTCCTCAACACTCTCTGGGGCTCTAAATGACCCTGAGGCATGGGAGACAAACCAAGCCCTGCTTCCTTCTTCTGCCCACAGATCGGGTGAGGAGAGCAGGGGATGCCACCCAATGGGCTGGCGCAACAAGGGGTCAGGAAGGGATTTTGAGGACAGAGGGGATTTTGTGTGCTCTTTGCGGTCTGGTTGTGTGGCCACTATCTTCCCTTGATGAAATGGGGGTTCCTGTACCTGGGAGAAAGCTGCAGCCTGTGAGGACAGAAGAATGGAAGGATTCTGGAGGAGTCTGGAGGAGAGTGAGAAATGGACACCTGGCAGAACAGAGGAGCAGCAAGAAGTTCCTGCTTCCCAGTGGCCTGTAGTACATACAGATCTCACTTTGCAAAATTCATTCCCACTGCGGGTTGAGCACAGGGGTGGGGAGAAGGAAGAGAGGAGGAACAGTGGATGACTCCAAATTTCTCAGGCTATACCCTCTCATGCTTGAAGCTGCTTTCTTGCAAGTCCTTAGCCAGCATGACCCATGGTGCACAGGACGTAGGACATGGCTCTGTGCATGGTTTCCCAGGCTGCCTGCTTTCCTGGTACTTTCAGTTAGCCATGCAGTCATTGCTTCCCCAAGTGTGAAGAACTTCCTGGGTCAGGGTTTCCCACAGAGTTTCTACCCCCTCCTTTATTAGGGAATTGGATACCTGCTTGTTTAACCTGGCAGGTTTTAGATTAGTGGGGATGGGTTAACAGGAACAGCAGCTTTCTCCAAGATGTATCACCAATACCCTGCTATGTTTGCTTCCTGCTTCAGCAGGTCCACAGGGACAATGTAAGATCAGGTCTGGCTGGCTCTTCCAACACCCTTTAAAAAGCACATTAATAAGCAATTAGCAATACCCCCGCTCACAGTAAAAAATCCATCACCAACAGAAATGGATCAAAACCCCAGCTGGCTTCCACGGCCAGTCCACATTGGAGTTAACTCACCTCCCTTCCCCCCGTCACTGTCTGTATCGAAAGCCCACAGACTCAATTCCTCAAGGTTTATCCATCAAGGATCTGGGGGGAGGCTTAAGTACTTGGTGTCATCTGTGCTGCCTTTCCTCATTGGCTCTTTCCTTCAAGCAGTGCTCCATGTCACATAGTCACATGCACAGACCCCCGCCTCCTCTCTCTGCTTTCTTTCAGCTTTGGCTTCCTTTGGCTCCATTGCTGAGAATGAAGATGCTCTCCTGAGGAACTTATTTCAGGGGTATCAGAAATCAGTTCGACCGGTTGAAAACTCCAATGATACAATAAAAGTCCTCTTTGGATTAAAGATATCTCAGCTAGTGGATGTGGTAAGCAACTGAGAGGATCTTTAAGAAAGAACAAATCTTGACTCAGCAAACTCACACAGTTGTCATTATTGTCTATGGGGGAACTAGACTCTAGGAGAGCTGACTTAAGTAACCTCTTCCCTTGTGACTGAGGAAGATAGTAGGGTTTTGAGGCAGGTAAGTGATGGAGAGGTAGATGAAGTGAGGCAGGTAAGAGATGGAGAGGTGACAGCTTCCCTCACATCCCTCTACCTGATGGCTGCTTACTAGGGATTCCTGTGTCTTACTCCCACAGGACGAGTATGAAGCCCCTCCATTTCTGTATCACCCAGGAACCAACCAAGAAAAGGGCCTCATTGTCTACTGGCACTGTGCAGATGCAGAGCAGCAAAAAGACACTGGTCTACTGGTGTGAACCCTACGAATCTTTGCCTCTCAGAGTACCTGGCTGGAGAGTCCTACCCTAACATACCTAATAGCCAGGTACTCTGAGAGGCAAAGATTCAAATCATTGGTTCAAATTTGGCAGGGCATGTCCTTGAATATGTGACTCCTGCCTTTCTTGTGAAGGGTCTAATCAGGAGGTCATTGGCTGGTATTGAATTATTTGCCTTGTGATGATATTTTCCCCCTAATGAAATTGACTGGATCTTACTGCGGCGAAAATCCCAGCCTAGGTTTTCAAGCCCCAGGGTCTCCCAAGGTCTACTGGGGGCTGAGCTTTCTGGAAACCCTGTTCATTTCACCTAGGTGCCTAAATGGGCGCCGATTGCTTTGGAAATTCTGACACTGGCTCCAAAATTCCTAGGGCATTTGAAGCCCATTCAGTCAGATGGGAAAATGGAAAATGTTTCTTTCCTCTGGATAGTTTTAATTTCAATGCTCTGTGCTTTTGGTCTCTCTAGGATGAAAAGAATCAGCTGATGACGACAAATGTGTGGCTGAAACAGGTAAAGCAGGCTGTCCTGTTGTGTTAAACACTGAGTTGTTTGATTGTAGAAGGGAGTATTTATTAAACAGTCACTCCCAGGCCTGGCATCAGAACTCCATCAGGAAAATAACAGGGGGTGCCTGTACACATGTAGGGAGGCTGCTCCGAAGCACTATAAATACAGTGCATCAGAGCAAACTCGATTAATCTAGTCAGCTGAAGCATGCTAATTAGCATGCTGAAGCCAGCCTCCATGTCTCATGTATCAGCATCCCCGTGCTTTAAAATGGTAGTGGGGGTGCTTTAACTAAAGATTGTTTGATGAGCTTTTGTTAAAGCACCCCAACCACCATTTTGAAGCATGGGGATGCTGATACACAAGACGCTGCAGGCACTTTAATTATAGTGGCTTCTGGAGCTGCTCTAATTAAAACAACCTCCCCCCTACCCCAAGCATATGTAAAAACATCCAGGGTGTTTTACTTCCTGGCAGAGCCAGAGAAGGGAGCTTCTGGCCCTTTATTAAGTTCACATTGCTCTACTCTTACCATCCCATCCTTGCATGCAATAGGAGGCTTTAGAGAGGCGTTAGAGGGGCAGAGACTCTGAGCTAAGTGCCTTCCTCTTCCCATATTTGGTAACAAGTCCATAAATATGTCCATGTGCTCTGCCCTTCCTGTTCCCTGTTGCTGGCAATGGTCTTGTGCCAGCTGTAGCTTAGGAAAGCAGCCTCTTGTGGCATTCTGAGAATCCGGCTAAGGCCACTTTTAGGATGATGTTGCCCTGAGGGACTCTCATATCTCATTCTGAGAAGGCATCTGCATGCTTGGCAAGTGTTGCTCATACCCTTTCTGCAGCAAAATCCAGCAAACAGAGCAATAAAACTATCAGCAAATTTACCAAATAATTAAAAGACTTGGGATTCCTGCAAATTAACCATCACTTCATAAATTGTTTGTCCTTGGTGGATATAGTCCACTGTAATTACAGATCGTTATACAAATGCAAGATGGAAATTCAGTAATTATTTCCCTTCTGATATATCTTCTCTCTACCTACCAGAGAACCTTATTTTTTCGAGGTAAGTTTTGTTAGCTTATTGGCATAGGGCTGGATCCTGCCCCATCTATTATACACCTAAGTCAGGGGTGGAAAAATATGGCCCATGGGCCAGACCCAGCCCACCAGGCCATTCTGTCTGACCTGCAGGGCCCCTAAAAAATATCGTAAATTCATATTTATTTGCTCCTGGTTGCCTGTCAAAGATGACAGGAGCCAGGGGCAGTAGGACCCAGAGGGAGCCAGCAGCAGGAGACAGGAGTGCAGCCCCATCCCACCCCCAGCCATTTTCCTGCTTCCTGTCCCCACCCTGCTGTAGCATCTTGTGGCCCCTGGCTGCATTGCTGAACCGGGGAGCATTGGTATACATATACCACATCAGTATGTGTGTGCGTGTGTGTGTGTACGTGCAGGCAGGGGAAGAGTGTGTGTGTATTTGTCTGTGTGTGCATGTGTGTTCCAGAGGGTGAGTCCCACACACACATCCCACCATACACATGCACCCACACCCCCCTCAAACTGCCATACAACAGCCCCCCACACCCACACCCCCTCACACAGCCCAGCCACCTTCTCCCCTACACACAGCCCCCCACGAACCGCATACCCACCCACACCTCACATATCCACACACACATCCACATGCTCCCTCATCCCACATACCCACACACCCACACACCCACAGCCCCCCACTCACCTATACCCACCCTCTCTCAATATACAAGAGTAAGACTTAATATTAATCTATTGTGCAATCACCTCTATTTGCACTGAACAAAGTCATGTAAATCAGGACAAAAATATTTTTTAAAATCAAATTAACGAATGTTGTAGATGTTTGCTTTTTATAATATGATTTGGTATTTTTCCGGTTCCAAGATGGCAAAACCCCTTGCTAAAAGGAGTACTTCCGGGGGCAGGGGAAGGGACTTCTGGTGGCAAAGGTCAGTGGTTAGGGGGCAGGACTTCCATTCACAAGATGATGACCAGGGAGCGGGGCACCTGTCAAGGGGCGGGGTTACCTATGTGGCCCTTGACAGCTTGCCGAAACTCGGTAAGCGGCCCTCCATCCAAAATGATTGCCCGCCCTTGACTTAAGTGGATTTAGGCACATAAATATGATCCTATTCTACTTTGCTCAAGTATCTGGAAAAAATATTAATGCAAAGAATGGGTGTGCCTTCCTCGTCTTTGCTGTTCTTTGTGATTTAGTCTTAAAGCCAAAACAATCTCATGTTACAAAAAGTTTTTTTAGGGCCTCAGGCAAGGTTGAATAGGATTGCACTTAGGTGCCTAATATATGGAAAAGAATTTGGTTTGTCATGACAGTCACAATTAGTTACCAACCTGTTTTGTCCTATAAATGAAGGGTTGACAACATACAACCAATGGGTTGGATGTGGCCTGTGGAGCCTTGACTTCGATAATGGGTAGCTCTCCTTGCCCCATGCCACAGCTAGGCAGCAGGGAGAAGTGCCCACATGCCTCTGACCTGAGCAAGGTCATTCTGACTCCCTTCTGGGAACTGTTGCCAACCCCTACTATAAACAGCAAGTAACATTGGGGCCCAGGGTGAGTTAGAGCACTTGGGGATTGTTCTAAATTATGTCACAGGTGTCAAGTTTCCAACAGATTATCAGCCAGTGGTAGAGAGATATAGTGAAGCTCAACCCAACTATTTTTCCTGTTCTTTATTATTTATAATACCAGAGGATCCATGTTCATGTCTACACTGCCATTGTGCTGAGCCCAGAATTGCATACATTCATTCTTGCCTAGCATATACCAAAACCCAGAAATGAGGCAATGCAGCCAGGCTACCTCAGCCCTGAGCCTTGGCCTCAGTGCCACTCTCAGGGCTCCTGTCTTTGGTGTGTTTCATTGTGAGCATTCACAGTGCTAAGAAGGCTTCCCTGCCTAAAAAATCAGCCAGCTCCTAAACTATGCCAATAACAGGATCTCTAGGAAGGTGGGTGAACAGATCTGGCCAATACTTTCTGTCAGGACAAAGGATCATATGGTCATCCGTGACCTTCTTCATCCGGCTTTGTTTTGCTGAATATGGGCTTGAATGTACTGGAAGAATTGCTAGACTATTTTGACAATCCCAAGTTACAGAGACCTGGAGTCTTATATGGTTCATCTGATTAAATGTTGCAGGGAAATTCTGTGGCTTTTAACTTCAGCCAAAAAGTCTCAGATGTCAGGATTCAGGAGACAGCAGGGAAGACAGGCACTTTGGGATGGAGCGAGAGTGAGAAATGAGAGCTGGAAAAGGCCAGCAGATCATACTGTCTATAACCTTCATCTGTATCTGACAAGGGCAAGGGTCCATGTCCAGGGGCAATGCATTTTCTCTTGGGGTTAAGTGCTGCTGTGAGGGCTCCTTTGCCAATGGCACAATGAGGCAGCTGTTAGGGAATCTTAAATACTATGCAGCAAGCAAAACACCCAGGAGCCTATGCCTAGGAAAAGGAGTCAGACTTGGCCCTCAGATAAAACAGAGGAGAAAAATAGAGCTGACTTCCAAGAGTAGCTTTAATGATAATGTTAAAGAGCAAGGGGCCTCCTGTAGCACATTCCCCCAAGCTGTCTGCAGCACACACCAGTATAGTCCCTGTCACCAAGGAGCTCCTGAGGAGTTTCCCATTATAAACCATTCATCCTTTAAGGCCCCAAATTGTATTTTTAGCACTTGTAACATGACATGTGGCTGGTCCCCCTGCAGGTACGAAGCGGTGCTTTGGCTCAGAGAGAAATCAATGCAAGGGGAGGAAACTGTGAAGCTAGAAACAGTTAATGCACTCAGGTCTTTTCAACTGCAGGGACTCCTGTCCCAAGGCCTGCCTGGAAGCAAGTTATGTCTCCTGGATTCTGCCCCAACCCACGGGTTTCAATTAGAGCAGGCAAGTGGCTGCTCTAAACTGTGTAGCCAGCTAGCTGTGTTCTCAGTGGGATGATATGCCAATGGGCATGTCTACATGTGCATTAATGTGCCGTAATTACGGCGCATTAAGTCTAGTACCTGTAATAAGGTCTTCTGGCCTTCACACCTGTGACTGTCTACTTTTACAGTCCCTACATCCTGATTGGGGCCCTGGGGTGCTATTGTAATACCACAGTGCAAATTATCATTATCTAGCAACAATGACAATGATAATACTGATGGGAAATAGAAGGTGGAATTGGCCATGGAGCAGTGGGGATTCCCGCCCCCCCCCCATGGCTGTTCTGGCACTGCATCAGTAGTGGCACCTTCAGCTCTGAGTCCTCGTTGACATAGTGTCAGACTAGAGAAAGTGCATTTGACCAGAAATCATTCTGCATTTCCTGCTGCATTGGTATTATCCAGGAAAGCAACATCCTTGCTCTGACAGTTTCACTCCAAACTCTGCTGAGTCAGAGTCTGAGGCCAAAAAAGAATTGCCTTTTGGGACATGTTTAACCAATCAGGAAGTACCTGGGAAAGCGTTTCTGGGGAAAAAACAGAGTTATTTAAGCCCCTGTCTCTGGAGCTTTTATGGCAAGCTGCTGTTATTATGAACAGTATTGATTTGAGTTTACATCTTTCCTCTCTTTGCATTCCCACGGGGCACCCTAAAATCCCATAAATAATGAATACAGCAGGAGAACTGCTTTTCTCTGTGAACATCATGTAAATCCCCAGGTCCCCAGACTGTGCACTGAGCTCGCTGCAGCTAACAGAATAAACAAGAGACAAAGGAAGGGGAGTTGAAAATCTGAGTGTTATGAGTTTGTCCCGATTTACTCCAAAGACTCCATAAACTCATTTGTGTCACATCAACTACTGTGACACTTGTATCCTGAAGAGGCTATCATTATAATAGCCATAATTAATCACTAAGATTAATCATAATTTTTTGTTATATTATGGGACACACTAGGAATGATTGGTGATGATGATGATGATGACAAAAATGATGATCGCTACTTTTTATG